CCGGTCATTTTTAAAAAAAAAAAAAAAAAAAAAAGAATCCTGCCATTAGTGTCTGATTTTTGCCTCAGTTTTTCATACGTAAATGTATGTCATTATACTATCTACCATATAGGGTTGTGCTAAACAAGATAACATATCTAAAATACTTAGCACCCACATAAAATGCTCAATAAACATGAACAATTATTATCTCATACTTTTGTTTCTCTATAATGACTAAAGCGCATCTTGCTTAGGTGACACACCTGGGTGTCATTTCCAACCTCACCTGGTTTAGTTACTCAACCTCACTTTCCTCATTCCCAATATGAGCGATAATATATTTAATGCATATAAGTACTTAATACAGTATCTGGCATCCAGTGGATGCTCAATAAATGTTAGGCCGCCTCCCCTCACGGTCTTCAATTTTTTCCCCTAAAGTTACTGGTTCTGGGCGGGTAGATGGCCTGCAACGGGGCAAGTTGGTAGAAACAGGCCCTCGTGGCGAGAACTTCCCGAATTTGCGCATGCACCCACCTCCCAATACTTCAGCCTCCACTGGTAGCCTCCCCCGGGGACTCAGCTCCGAGGAGTCTGCTCGATTAAACTCCTCAGAGAACGTTCCATCCTCCGTCTCCCCATGGCTCGAAACCTTGCCGCGCCAGTCTCTCCAGATCCCTCCACAGCCCACCCGTTCCTTCCGCCCCTTTTCTCCCCACCCGTCCCAAATTCCATTTTTCAACCTTTTCCAGACCCCAATCCCTCTCGTCTGTGAATCCCCAAAGCTGTTCCTTTCTCTGTCCCCCGAATTCACCTCCAACACCTCCAGGTCCCCCCCAAACGCCTACTTCTTACGCCTCCAGGCCCTCTCATCCCCCCACGTCCCACCTGCACTTTCTGCTTCTTCAGCGCTGCCGCGTCCAGCCACACGCCGCAAGCCTCCTCGTCCTGGCCTCTCCGCCTCATGGCCGCTGAGGAGACCGAGCGAACAGGACACTGGAACCGGGCTCCGGATGCCTCAGGGAACTGTCCCAACCGCCTCCGCCGACATTCAGATCTCGCGCCAACGCCGGGGGCGGAGCTACGCCGCGGCCTCCCCGGCGCAGGCTCCGCCCCCAGCTCCGACCCCGCCCCTTTCGCCAAGCCCCTCCCGACGAGTTAACAGCTGCTCTGTCCTCGCGAGCGTGGGGCGTCTTTCCTTTAAGCGAGGCGTTCGTCTCCTTTCCGAGCTTCTCTTTCAAGGGTTGGGTTCCGAAAAGAAAAAAAAGAGTTGGATTCCGGAAACTGCTGTGTGAACTCTTTCAAACACGTGAGCAATGTGAATTTTCTCTTTGCTGAACTGCACTTTCCCGCTGTAGACATAATTTCCCCGGGGCCCAGGGCTGTCCTTGGCTCATCCCGAAAGGAAGCGGCGGAGCCGAGGCTCAGGTCCGCCGGCTCCAGAGTTGGGGTCCTCGGCACTACCCTAAATAGTTACCAAACACGCGAGTTTGTGAATTACTTTTATAACTAAAAAAAAAAAAAAAAAAAAAAAAAAAAAAGCTAAGCGTAACTACGAAACCTAATGGAAGAGGATTTTAAAACGTTAAGTAAAAATTTGGAGTCAAGAACTAGCTTTCGATCCCATTGTCATCGTTTACTCCGTGACCTTGGATTTTAAAAAGGCTCAAGTGTAGTAACGTTTGTAAATTCTGAAATCCCCAAGGAAGTGCAAAGATGCAGGCATCCCACCAATTCTTCCATACCTAATCACAGTCTCCATAGACGTAATATATGTTTATTACTACATATCATTTTTATATGTTACATTTTAATATATATTAAAATATTTATTAATATATATTACATATGATATTAGTATCATAAGGTCCCCCAGCATATTGTAGCAGTGGAGTGTTATTTCTTATTTGATTTTTTTCTTATTTTACTTCCTGATTTTCTTTCATTGTACATACATTGCTTGTGTACTGTGGAAAAAGCAACATTATAAGAGTTAACATATAAAATCCTCCGATTGAAGGAAAATCCAAAACATGAAACCTCTGTCAAATTATAAGGTGGGATTATATATTTTAAACATTCTTTTAACTACTTCCAAAACTTTAGTAATAAAACTGCCCCCTACTCCCTTGCCAGAAAAATTTCATATATATGTATATATTATATACTTTATATAAATATAAAGAGTATACGTATGTGTGTATACACACATATACTCATATATACACACATATATAGGAGTATACGTAGTATATAAGGTCCTGACCCAATCCCCAGGCAAAGATAAAACAGGAACTGCTCTCCACCACCCTGTGTGCACTCCCAGGGTCCCCAAGCTCCCTCTGGAAAACCTCCTCCAATACTGTGAACAGGGCCCTCTCCGTGAGATAGGAGACAAAAAGCAGAGAGGCAGCTGTTGTCACAGTCATTTTATTCCGTCCAGGACATATCAGAGTCCAGACCAGCCCTAGCTCCAGCCCAACTGAACTCCTCCTTCAGTACTTCTGGACCTTTGCAGTTTTTTCCCCTCTGCCTGGAATACCCTTCCTATTCTTCATCTGCAAACTCCTATTCATTCTTCCCACCCCAAAACTCTGAGGGTCCTGGTCAGCACTGATTATTCCCTCCTCAGTGCTTTCCTTGACAAATCATAAAGCCTTTATCATCCTGCATTGATCCATGGGGCCCAACCAGTAGCCTGCCTCTGAGCAGAGGCCCAGAAAACACTGAATGGATAACTGAATCATGAACAAGGGAACTGGGGAGAAGCTAGAAACAGGCTGTGTGGGACACAGAGGCCATAGCTAGAAGATTTGGGGCTCACTGTCTGGGTTGGTGACTGATGGGCACTGGATGGGATCCATTTGCATCTGGCACAATCTCCTACCTTTGAGGGCTCCTGCAGCTCCAGCATTCCAGGCTGGGGTTCAAGGGACAGTAAGATCCTGCACACACTTTGGGCCTGCCCCTTCCCCATCCACCAATGAAACCTGGGTAGAGGTGGGTTGCTGAGGCCTTCCCTGCCTCTCAGCTCAAATTTGACTCTGGCCTAAATCTTACCTGGCACCCAATCTGAAAGCCCCAAACCAGTGTCCTGACCCCAGCTGACCCCAGCCTCACCCCTAGTGAGGGGCAAGCCAGGGTGGTCCACACCTTTATTTGTTTCGCTCTCCCAGGGAAGGGACCTGGGGCAGGCCCAGGAGTGGACTCCAGCAGTTCCTGGCCAATCCCCAAATTCAAGTATGGCCAGTGCTGCGCTTGGCAGTTGAGGCGTGCACAGAGTCACCGCGCGCCAGACACAAACGACTTTACCAGTCCTTGTTCCCATCTCGAGTCAAGACCAAACCCTTGTGCCCCCACTATATCTCCCTCCCTACCCGCTGCCACCTTTCTTCACTTGGTCTTCTCGTCGAGTTTGTGCCGCACCAGCTGGCTCAAAAGGAATGCAGTGAGGGCACTGCTACCCACAGTTAACAGGAAGAGGCCAGAGAAGTTGTGGGGCCAGTGGGTGTGCAGAGGTTCATAGATGGGCCGCCGGGCCTCATAGTCCAGTGCCACAGCCTCCACCTGAGCCAGTGTGCATAGCACCAAGAAGACGTGGAAAAGTTGGTGGCCCTGCCCAAAGACATGGCAGCTGCCAGGGAACCAGCGCTCGGGCACGAAGGTAGAGAAGAAAGCGGCAGCCAGCAGAAAGAAGACCACCTGGCACTTGTGGTAGAAAAGAGCCGGGTCATCCGCGGCAGAGTAAGAGGACACCAAGATACGGTGCACCACGGGGCTGATGTCCAGCGCATAGGCCAGAGCCGAGGGCACCTCCTGGCAGGTGCGGCCCAGCAGGCCTAGATTTTGGGTGTATTTGTTGTAGCAGGAGCCAGTGCAGGAAAGCCATGCGAGAAAGGCAGCCATGGGCAGGAAAATGCCTTGCACCTGGGCATGCCAGGAAGGCTCGATGGCATAATAGAAATGCACGAGGGCACTGCCAAACTGGTACACAGCCACACCCACATAGTCCAAGAAGAAGAAGCTGTAATGCCAGAACTCGGACTTGGCCTGCAGGAGGTGAGCCAAGGCACTGAAGGAGAGGTAGGTGAAGGAGGCAAGGACAATGATGAAGAGGGGCAGGGCATGTGGGTCTCCCCAGAAGTCCACGGTCCTCACAAAGATGGCCAGCCGCAGGAGCAATGCCAGTGCTGCCAGCAGGTGGGTCCACACGTTCACTGCCTCGTTGTGCTGCTGGAACAGCGTGCAGAAGTAGAAGCGCCAGGTTCGATGCAGCGGCCGGTAGCCCACATAGATGTACGGCTTCCAGATGCCAGCAGGTGGGTCCACACGTTCACTGCCTCGTTGTGCTGCTGGAACAGCGTGCGGAAGTAGAAGCGCCAGGTTCGATGCAGCGGCCGGTAGCCCACATAGATGTACGGCTTCCAGAAGAGGGGCGGCACCTGAGCTCGGTCCACTGTGAACACAGGCTCTAGCTGAAGAGACGGCCGATGCTCCTGGCCAACCTGCTGCAGATTGCGCAGGAGGTGGCTGAGCTTCTGGGCCACCGCCATGGCCATGTCTGTGGGCCTAAGCAGGGAACTGGGAGAGAGGCCAGAGCAAGAAAAGTCAGGGACCTAGTGTCCTCCAGCAGCAGTTGGCAGGGGGGTCCTTATGTCCATGTCTTACTCCCCATTCCCCACACCCTTATCCTTACACTGGGTTTAAGAAGAGAGGAGTCATCCCAGGAAGAGCTCAGCTCTGACCTCATGGGAGCAAAGATCATTTTGTTCCCTGATGTACCCCAAGTACCTAGAACAGTGCCTGACCCATAGTAGGTGCTCAATAAATGTTTGAGGAATGCATTCATTAATAAGGCTCCCTGCCTCATTCATTTCCTCTGCAGTCTGACTCCACAGCGTAGCTGCAGCTGTTTTATCTCCTAAAGTATAGATCTGGCCATGCTGAACATATGAGGACAGGCTTTTTCAGCCTGTGTTTGTGCCACCAGCAGTGTTCACCTGGTGGTGACAATGACCTTTCTAACAGACCTGCTTCCTGTACTTATAGAGGCAAAGTGGCCTTCAGAATGGCCAGGGTCTCCCACTGACCCGCCATTATCCCACATGATCTGGTCCCTGCTACCTTCTTCAGTCTATTGTTCAACCACAGTGAACTTCAAATCCAGTCACAGCCTCACTGAACCCTTGGGACTGCTGTTTCACATGTCTATAGCTTGCACAAGGTGTCCCCTCTGAGAGATTTTCCTCATCTTGCATAGTTGGTAAACTCCTATTCATCCCTCAAAACCCACTTCCTCTGTGATGCTTTCCCTGGCCTTCTGAACCTGCTATGATGACCCCTCTACTTGAATACCTACCATCAGACCATCCTTTGATCATTTAACACTTCTCATGGGCATTGCAATTATTAATGTGAGCTCATTGAGGGTAGGCAGTTCGTCTTATTTTGCAAACCCTGGTGCTTAGCAAGGAGCTGGCACTTGATGTTTGCTGAATAGAAGAACAACATAACTGTATCTGGTAATAACTTCATAACCTTCAAGGCTCAATTCAAAAAGTAACTTTTTTCCTGAAAGTTCCCAGCTAACAATTGATCCTATAAAAACAGCCCTTTCTCTCAGCCACACTTCCCCTCTGAAGTTCCTCCCTCCACAACCCATAGTTGCTAATTCCAAATAAATCAAACCTCTTACCCTGGCATTCAAGGCTCTCATGGGCTGCTCCTACCCTCATTTCCCCCCAGCCCCAGTGTCACACCCTGTGCCAACTTCATTTCCCTGCAATGAAATCCTTCAAGGCCAGTACAAGCCACCATCTCTAGGGGACCTCCTTACCCCGCCCCCAATTTTCCCGTGACCTATAAAGGGTTACACAATTTAGCCTTTAAAATACATTCATTCATTCATTCACTTAGCAAACACTTACTGAGCCTTTCTTTGCCTCAGACCCTGTGCTGGATCCAAGGGAAGGCAGAGTGGAAAAGAATTGGATCACTGCCCTCAGGAACTTCATGATCTGTAGAGGTTACAGAAAGGAAAATAAATCACAGCCAATGCTTACACATCACTTGCCAGGCACTGTTTTAAGCACTTTATGTGTAATTAACTCATTTACACTTTGTAACAACACTGTGAGGTAGATAGTGTCACTATTCCCATTTTCCAGAACTGAGGCACAGAGAAGTTAAGTACTTTGCCCACCCACCTAGCCAGCAAGTGGCAGAGGCATGCTCTGAACTCAGTCTGTGCTCTTTTTTTTTTTTAAAAAGATGACTGGTAAGGGGATCTTAACCCTTGACTTGGTGTTGTCAGCACCACGCTCACCCAGTGAGCGAACCGGCCATCCCTATATAGGGATCCGAACCCATGGCCTTGGTGTTATCAGCACCACACTCTCCCAAGTGAGCCACGGGCCGGCCCCTCAGTCTGTGCTCTTAACCACTACCCTAAACTGCCCTTTGCAAGACATGGTGGAAAGTGCTATTAATCATTTCATAATTATATACTGTTTTGCCTGGCACCAGTTGCATAACTCAGACTCATCACCGCTCCTTGTGTTATTCATTAACTCAACTATCTATTGAAAAACCTGCAGACAGAATCGTCTGCCCCAGCAAATAAATGCTCTCCAACAAGCTTGCTGGACTCAGTCCAGGTTTTCTGTCCATCGTTCATCAGATACCTATTGCAACTACCTTTGCACTAGTCACCGTATGAGGCAAAGAAATTTGGAAAGGATAAAGCATCCATGTTCTCTGCCACCAGTGCCACAGTGATCACACCCCACACCACCCAAATAACTCACACAAAGTCCAAGTAAATGCAGGTACTTGCTATGCAGAGGCAGTATCAAGACTAGCCCCCAAGTCCCCACTACCCCCACCCCCCGCCTGACTTGCATGTCTAAGTTCCTCCTGCATTAGCATACTGGAGTTAGCTCTTGTCCCTGGCCTTTTCTAGTCCAGGGGGGAAGCAGGAGTTAAATAAGGGGTGCTACTTAGGAGCACAGGG